ATATATAAATCATCAAAGAAAGGTAAATACAGTGTTCGAATAAAGGACATAATCTATCGTGTAGCATAGCTCTCAACGAATGTAGTCCTGTAAATAAATGAATAAAGAAATTGTGTGGCGGGACTCGAACCTGCGACCCCTTGCTGTCAAGGCGAGCGTCATAACCACGGAGGCTTCATGGTTGAAGAGATTCAAATACCACCAGATACACTCCATTACACAATAAGTAAATTGTTGATTTGATTTATATTATACACAACTATTTGTTTCTAGCCGTACTTACCTTTCTTTATTTACCTTTCTTTGGATGATCTGCATTTATTTTTTGTGTGGAACACAAAAAAAAAAAATCAAATTTCACAGTTGACATTTAGGAGGGGCGGGCGCGTTTACGAGGGAAAAAACGCCTCAGGGCGTTTATTTCGACGTTAATTCTTTTTACTTTTTTATATAATTTTTGTATTGTGAGAAGAGTTGTTTTGAGTTATAATAGATGATAAGGGCCTAGGCCTATATATTTTAATTTTCTCTAGTTTATTAGCGGTCTCTAAGTTTTACTGTCAATTAACCTGCAGCACTAACTTACATTTCAGCAATGGCTGCCGACAGTGAGAGTTTTGTTTGCTTAGAGGATTTCGAGAAATCGGCCCGAAAACACTTATTGCAATCAAGAGTTGACTATTTTACAGATGGCTGTAATGAACAGTTTACATTGAAGGAAAATATAGAGGCGTTTAAGAGGTAAAAATAAGTTCCAGTAGTGGTGGCCTGGACCATAGGCCTATATGGTTTTTCAATGGTTTATTATGCCAAGTGATTATTAAAAAAGTCATTTACATAATTATTAGGCTTATAAAACAAAAAATTGCCAGGCTGCCACATTAGTAATAGATGTCTCAACAAACACAGCGTGTGCTATCTAGAGCCTGTTTTTTCCTATTAAAGAAGTGGCAGAACAAGGCGCTATGAGGGTGGTTACAAGATGAAATTGAGGTTTTCCAACTCAAAATCGCAATAAAAAATTTAAAAATTCTCCTCTATTGCGATAGGAAAGCGGTATCAGACCAGTCCCAAAGTATCAAAATCAACTTTGTCGAATTGAGCAAACTATTTTTCGGCAAACTGGTGTTTATAACTTTCGAGTCGGCAATTTGGCATTCGGCAAACTGGGTTTTGGCAAAGTGGAGTCGGCAATCTGGAACATGACAAATTGGATTTCGGCAATCTCTTCTCTACCCGGGGCTTTACTCCATGGCACTCGCCGTGCCACAAGTTTTAGGCAAGTGGTTGATTCGGACATTTCTCTGCAGCCAGTTGGCAAAACAATGGTGCCAGATAGTACCAGTTGGCTTCGAAATGACGTCTAGTTGGAGTACAGTATGCATGGGCAGACACTGGCGTGCATGACTAGACTGGCAGTTTTGCGTATTCAGGGATCATATGAATTCTTAATCATAACCATGTTATATTTTAATTTTACCTAGGTACCGTTTGCGACCTAGGCTCCTTCGCGATGTATCCAAGATAGATTTGAGTACTACTTTACTTGGACAGCATATTTTCTGGCCGGTTGGCGTATCACCAACCGCTTTTCATCGAATAGCAGACTATGCTGAAGGGGAAAAGGCCACTGCTAGAGGTAATGTTTTAATAAGAGTTTTTGTTTTTTAGTAGTAAGCAAAAGCCTATTGGTTTTAAGATGCAAAAAAATATCCGATTTCTGTGTATTGGCGCCAAATGCAAAAACAAAATCTGAATTTTGATCAATATTTGCGTATAATTATGTATAAAACCGAAAATGCCGCTGGTGTTTGATAATAATTGGTGACAGCCTGAACAGATCATCATTATGAACTATCCGTTACGCCTCGTTGCGTCTCGGCATTCTCTGTGTGGAGTTGCGCAGGCCAACAGACCGTCCGGGTGTAGGCATAATTTATATAGTTATGCAGAAAGTGTGTCTAGTTTACCTAATACTCTGAAATTGAAGATTTTTTGTAGAGGGAGCAGACATTCCAAGATTGGAGTAAGGGTAAGTTTTGCCGAAACCTAGTTTCATTAAACTGGCATTCGGTTTCGGCAAAGCTGGGATTTGGCAAAACTGTGCTTCGGTAAACTGGATTTTACAATTTTTCAGTTATGTTTTCAACCTGGGTTTCGGCAAAGTGGATTTGGTAATTTGGCATTCGGCAAACAGGGTTTTGGTAATCTCTCATAGATGGTGAACAATGGTCTGTTTGTTTTTCTTGAAATTAATGTAACAGTCCAATCACTAATTTACTGCTGCACTAGTATTTTAACAAATTTACCAGTAAATTGAGTTTTCTTTTTCTAGCCACACATTCTGAGGGGTCTGTTATGATACTTAGTTGTGCCTCAACATGTACCATAGAAGATGTAGCAACGGCATCTGCAAGTGGTATCCTTTGGATGCAGGTTATGTTCTTTAAACGGAGGGAAATTACAGAGAGCCTTGTGAAGAGAGCGGAGGCTGCAGGATTTAAAGCGATTGTTGTGACCATTGATCAACCAGTTTTTGGTAAAAAATATTCAATTGACAAAAACAAAACAAGTGTATGGTTCAAACTACACGCTCATGAACGGTTGGTGAATTTTTTACTGATTTTATTATATACGTTTTTATCGACAAAAACATATGTTGTGTGTATGTGGTGTATGTTTGCTTACGTGAATTGACCTTGATATGGGCATGCCCACTCAAGACTACGAAATGGCTTATCGAAAGGCCGTGCATTATTGCAGGTGAATCATTAGTGATGAAATTGGTAATATTATTTTATACGATGCTCACTGCAAATAGTACCATCTGTATTTTATCATTATCAAAGTTAATTGAGTGTCATCAACTTTTTTATAGAAATATCTGGCTGCGGTTTAATCAAGATTAAATAATAAAAAAATTTTGCTTATGCAAGGGATATGAGGGAGATGTGTATAAGAGACAGCTATATAAGTCTCCAATCATTACCATTGTGTGAAGTTTAAATCATTTGTCACAACATAAATGGTTCTATGCCTTTCAAAATTATAGATCCATACTTCAATTGGCTTTTGTAGAATATTAAATTCAAAACCATTTTGACCATTATTCTTTTCTAGTATTCCATTTAATATTAAACTTATATTAAACAATTGTAAATTTACAGGCCGGTCAACTTAAATCTTGGCATCAAGGATAAGGGTGGTGAAATTGCTGCAACACTTGATAGAACTGCCACTTGGGAAGAAATTAAGTGGTTGAAGTCCATAACAAACTTACCGTTGGTTCTTAAAGGTATAACTACAGGTGAGAAAACGTTGATTTTTTTTTTATCATATCTGATGATCACAACGACGACAAAAACGACTGTGGTGAAATCGACGATCACGATTTACGCATTGATTATTACAATTGTGTTGTTGGGAATAGCTAGGCCAGATGCCATATTATTCGAGTGCCATGCGAGTCGTTTACCTGAACGACGCGATAGAGTTCCTCTGCGTTAGTCTGTTTCGGATATTTATTTTAGCATGGTTACTATTTAATAGATTGTACTCTTTTTTCTACAGTGCGACCTACTGAATGAACGACTTATTGAATAAAAGAAATTTCATTTGAACATAAGATAGGCCTACCGTTTATTATAATATTAACATTTATTGCCAAATGCACATTATTATTATTAATGGTCATCTAAACATTAACGTATTTAAGTATATTAATATTAATCGCAGACACAGACCAACTTAAATTCAATCATGCATTCACCAAATCATTAAAATTCGTAGTTCATTCTTCGTTAAGGGTAAAACGAACTTACTTTTAATTTAAACAGATTTTTAATTGACTCAAAAACCACTCTATTGAATTGAAGACGAAATAAATGATATGATATGATAATACGCATGCCGGGTATGATGGACGATTTTATTGTTTTCTTTTATTATTTTTCTTTTTAGATACACTTCTGTGATCTTCACTTTTGACTTTTTCTTCCCAAAATTTAATCATTTCTTTTATTCCATTAAATTTGATTATGATCAATTCCTTAGTTTTTGCGTAATCTTGCTAACAGACAGACAGAAGGCAGACAGCAGTGAATAGTAACCTCCTTTGGTGGTGGCAAGAATGCCAAAAATAATTATTAATAATCTATCTTATCTTTTCAGGCGATCAAGCACGGAATGCAGTAGAGCATGGGGCTTCCGGCATCTTGGTCTCCAACCACGGCGGACGTCAACTGGATTATCTACCAGCTACAGTATGTAAAGTACTGGCTGTATAATTTATAATGTTTAAAATACTTAAAATATTAAAACTGATAATTGTGTGCAAACTGCATTTCTAAACATAGATTGATGTCCTCCCGGAGGTTGTTGCTGCCGTAGAGGGCTCAGGTGTTGAAGTATACTTGGACGGAGGAGTTAGGCACGGAACAGATGTCTTTAAAGCATTAGCTCGTGGGGCCAGAGCCGTTTTCATCGGAAGACCAATTATTTGGGGATTGACATGCAAAGTAGGAGCTGATAAAATTGTTTATTAAAACATGTTAAAATAACACATCCTTAAGAAAAGTATAATTATAATGTCCTATTTTCAATTGTGTTTAAAATATTTTTAACAATAAACCAACTAGGCCTAATTTTGACATTAATTCATTAATTTTCTTTAGCTATTATAGATTGTGAATGTCGCATGATTTGATTTGATCTGTTTTTATTTGATGTTTGCCAAACATACTATTCTTGATAGTGTATGTCGCACACGCTAGATCGCCGACAGATTTCGGTGAAGCTTGGTTTCCGTAAAAATCGCTACACGCTGTCGCCGACTCCTTTGGCGACGCTGATTGGTCAGTTAGATAAGGGAGCGTTCCCGATTGCGTCGGGAACAGCTACGCTGTGCACGGACTACAGTGAAAACGTTCTAGCGACTGTGTAGCGATTGAAACCGAGCCTGATGCTGATTGGTCGGCCAAATCGGGGAGCCTTCCCGATTGCGCATGATACGCAGTACAACGATTGCACTGCAAACACAGTAGCGACAGTGCAGCGATTTTAAGGAAACCAAGCTTTATTAAACATACAATTCATTATGTTTACTCTGTATTTATTATTTTGCTTATGCAAGGGATATGAGGGCGCCAAACAAGTTCTTTCAATCCTTAGGGAAGAGGTGAATACAACGATGTCGTTAATGGGTAAGACTTTAATAGCTTTGCTTATTTACAGTTATAAACCTCAATCATTTACATGATATCATTCAAAAGTCCTTGCTTTTGAATCTCTTTACTGCCTTCTTTTTAAAATATTTTCTGTCTATATTGTAGTTTTAAATAAGATTCGTTTTCAGGCTGTCCAGACAGCGGTGGCTCCAGAAATTTGCCGACATCGGTCGGACTTGTCAACAGGGGGGCCCGAACCAATAGGTCGACTAGAGCCTCGGTCATGGTTCAGGAATAAAACTCCCTCGGAGGGTGCACGAAGAGAGTTTTTATGTCTTAGTATGGCCCAAATTACCTTTTAAGCCGGTTATCTCACTGCGTGCGACGGCAACGCGACGAAGAACGCACGCGAAGACGCGGACCCAACAGATCGTCTTTTTAATAAGGATCCGTTCAGATTGCCACTGACAATCAGCAGACGGCGTTGCGTCGTCTATTGCACGCCGGAAGCAAATGAGGATTCGTTGTGCGGCCGTTGTGCGGCGGTCACACGATCCTTGTACGACGCAGTGAGTGTCCGGCTTAAGAGTGACAATTGAGTGATTGGCAAATCAAGATAACGCTATTTGGATAGGCATATAGTCTTATTTTTAATCCGACGGTCTCGTCGTGGCGTCGAACGAGACCGGGAGAATTACTCCCCTCCCTGCTGGCAGCACCACTTTGTTAAGCCTAATTATTCTTTCCATCATCCAGTTTGTCTTTTTTTTTTAGTCTCCCTTCTGGAAAGTCAGTGGCAATTGCGTCAAATCCGTTTTCTTGTTGAACTATGTCCGCATCCATCAACTTTATATTTCTATACACTATTTTTCTTCTTTCTAAAGGTCATGATGCTATATAAAAAGCTCCTTTATGAGGCTTAGAGTGTGTGGATATTTTTTAGTTGTGAGAAAATTTTTCTTGTGTTTAAAATATTTCAACCTATGATCCTGGAATTGGAAAACTATACCTTAACAGTCGAATTACACCCCTTTTCAAATTTTAGTTTGTTGTGTAAGATTAAATAGTGCTAATTCCTCAAACCTCAACAAGTAATATACATTTCTTGAAACGTTTCCATAGCTCAGGATGGATAATTTACAACTTCATTAATTTTCAGGATGTACCAACGTCAATGAAATAGCACCCTCAATGGTTGTTCATGAAGACTACTTCAGAAAATCAAAGTTATAGGAGATTAGTAGATTCACATTCTACTCCAATAAGAAGAATTTAGTTGAGACCACAGTCCGCTGAGGAGTACGAAAATAAATGATGGACGTTGGCGTGTTACGAAACATAAAATATGTATTATTTTATTGAAAGACAAATATTTCGTCAGGACTTCTTCAGCGTTTATGAAATACACAGGAAAGATTGGCATGATATAGGCATGCAAGCATGAAGATAGATCAAACATTAATACCGCTTATTACGAATAAATAGATTATTTTATAATATTTTATATTACTGTTAACAGCATGCAGACTATTGGATCCGCCACTAGTTCTGGATCCATCCTGTGAAGTTTGTTCCATTAACGATTCAATTGGTCAAGTCAGGGTATGGAACTTAAGACTAATGAAATGTTTGCTTGCTTTATTGATGCAGTTAAACAATAGTTACGGAGGTACGAGGCTAAAATTAGTTATGTTCTGCTCTATTTGAAGAAGATCAGCCTACAAAGCAATTTAATTATTGGATATTAGGCTCATTGTTCCTTTTCATTGCGATATGATTCCTGAAGCAGGAAACGATTTCGCGACACTGATGATATAATTGAAATTGATAATCTTTTTACTGGGGGTGGGGGAGGAGAGGTTACCAAATATGGAAGGATAGACACTATTTAATTGTGCATATTGTTAGGTATAGGCTGACGTTACTACAGTAACTCAAATTACTAGAACAATTCTTCTACAGTATTTGTTTATTTACATTTTTGTAAATTTGAATGATACAGACAGATAATTATTAAACAAAAAGTTGATTGGCACTTGAATTTCAAGTTGATTTTTATATGTTGCCTGTAGCCTATGACAGTGTGGTGGTGATGATTGTTAATTGCAGTACAGTATAATAATGGTTACAAAACAATTTAATTAAACAATATAGAAATGCCAAAATCCTTTGATTCCCTTCGGAGGCTGGGTATATTTGTTAAAAAAAAAAAAAAAGCCACAGGTCTGTCAACATTTCTTTCTTGTATTTAATTGCATATACATGATAAGCCTACATAGAAATACTGTACTGTATACGCAATAACAAATACAAAACAAAAATATTGAAGTGTTTGAATGACCATTGTGAAATGTACCACCTCTTTTCATCACTGGGGTGCCTCCAGGATTTGCCCGAGGGGAGGGGGCGAGGTCCCCGACGGGGGGAGGGGCTGATTCTCTCGACGAGGGCTCAGACTTAACCGACGAAAGCAATGTGGGCGTGGTCGAGCTTCGATAAAAAGGTTTTGAAAGTGGTCCAGGGGACGAAGCCCCCGAAAAATCTTGACAGTTTAGCGGTGTGGCATACCCAACCCCTCTCCGCTGGTGCCACCCCTTTTTTTAAAATCATTATTACTTAGTCAAGATTTTTATCATATTGCTTAATGAAGATTAACAATCTTTCTTAACAAACAATAGCAACATTGTAATACATTATAGTATAATTATAAATACATAATATTATTGATTATAATATTTATGATAATAATAATAATATGGTAATAGCAATGATAACAATAATATACAAATATTACAATAATAAAAAAACTAATAATAATTATTATTATATAATTAATAAAAAGGGTTGTAATAGATGTAATTTTATGCAAAAAAATGGTATCGGCTCTTAACAAATATTCGGCCTGTACAATAATAATATAATACTGTACATATAAATATATATTATATAGTAACAATATTAAAGGTTCATATTGTTAACAACGATGATGATGATGATGATGATTACGATGACTTGTCGACTTCTTTTTTGTAAGATGGAGAATGTGTGAAAGGGAGATTATTTCTGATGTCCATTTTTTCGTGGCGCATAGCAATGAATGTCATGTTATTCAAAACAACGGCGTTGCAGTAGAGGTGCTACCTGTGCCAAATCTATTTTGCAACCATGAGGAAGCTGACACAAGGATGATACTGCACAGTGTGTGTGTTAATAGCCCAGATACAGATTTGTTTTGGAATTTTGACACTATGCCTATTTACTGTAATAAGAATGAGAAAATTTACCTCGGATCGTTTTCAAGAGGGGAAAAACGTTGAATTTTGAAGAACTTAAAAGTTATTAAAAGACACCGCAGAAGTCAGAAAAACTCATTTCCCGCCATCTAGGAATCAAACTTTTCCCGGACCCCCTTTCATTTTGTGGGTTTGGAAACTTTCTGACCCCTATTCCCTAAGAAAGAAATTGAGAAAAAAAAGAAAATTATTTTCAAATTTAAAGCTATGCTTCAGAGGAAAATTATTTTTGTAGTGTTGTAGAACTGATTTTTCTAAGGCACGAAAAGCATATTTGACAAAACACTCGGAAGCGGCTGATAAGATACAGATATTTGATTATTTAAAAATGGGGGAAAGAGGGAGGTACGGACCTTTTCCTTACAGCTTTTAAATATTAAATAATCTGTATCTCACTAACCGCTTTCGATTTTTTCGTCGAATATGCTTTTTCGTGTCTTAGAAAAATTAGTTCTACAACATATATAAAAACAAAGAAATTTCTTTGTTATTGTCACATATCATTTATTTGCAAAAATAACAGGAGCTACTTAAGGGTCTATATGGCATGATTGCCTAATTGAAGAATGCTTGCCATCGAGGGGCTCTCTCGGTCTATCGGCGACGATTAAAGAAACTCTTAAAAATAGTAAATTATTACAGTATTTATAATATGAAATTGGATATTAATTAGTGAAATCATAAAAAATAATCTATAAATATAGTTACATGAAATTCAACTGCTAAAAAGATTAAATGGAAATAACTATACAGGAGGCAGCTAACTGTATATACACAGGAAAGCACATCACGTTAGACACAGAACGCGCATCGCGTTTGACACAAAATGGCTTCTACTCTAAATTCTCAATAGCCTCGTTCACATCGAACTATGTCGACTAGATTATCTACTTGATGTCGACAATAGTTTCTACGTGAACGGTCAATTACGGCGAGATAAAGTTCATAACTCGACGATGGCTGTTAGCTCGACTAACTTGTAAATCCAGTCATCGTCGAGTTGATAACGCACCACGGGTGGCCTCAGGTCACGAATACACCAATCAGAACGAAGCCGGTTGACCCTTAGCAAGCTTGCTGTTTGTTTGTTAGTTTATTTTGATCGTTCGAGAGAGAAGGTTTTTCAGTGTAGGCCTAGCTTAGATCTTTATATCAATTATGACCGAGAAAGTACGCCAAGAGCGACATTGTTGGACTTATGAAGAAGAATTCGATCTTATTGACATTTGGAAGGAACCGGAAGTATGTGAAAAGGTGGAAGATAAAATGTACAGACAAAAAGCTACCATTCATGAGCAAATGGCTGTACGAATGCGTGATCTTGGTCACACTGGGATCACAACCGCCGCTCTCGTGAGCGTAGTTGGTCCAGCAAGGTATCTCGACATAATCGGACCATCGAACGCAATTAGGAGTGTAGCGCTGTTCAATAGTTTGTCTACTTATGTCGACAATAACCGATGTGAACCAAGCTAATGTCGCAACTCTTTGTATCTATGGCTCTGCACCTAGCAACAGAAGGGCGCCCTGTACGTCTGGATCAAGTATAGAAAACTTGCATTATAAAAAGAGAAGGGCGCCGCGTACGTCTGGCCCAATTTCCGCCTTATTTTTGCTCTACGAGTGCTCTATCTTGTACCCTTGTAGTACATATTTCTAGTATCTTCCCTGACTGACAACGATAAGCAACAAACATAGCGCGGGGTTGTGTACGGAGGCCTAGGCTAGTGTAAGTATAAAGAGAGTAGTGTAGCTAAGAGTTAAGTAAGGTAAGCAATTCTTGATTTATGTATGTGATAATAGTACCTAGCCTAATTAGCAGAGGGACCGTATGTAAGCCCTTAGGCCTAGGCCTGTTGCTTAGTCTCTGTCTGCTGAGTGATGTGCTGCCTTGTTTGAAGAAGGGAGCCTGCCTAGGCTAGCCTAACTAGGGCCTAAGCCTACCTGCCCTAGACCTAGGCCTAAACAAGGAGGTAAGCCTAGGCACTTGAAATGTGGCTATTGTTACACCAGTTTTAAACAAATTCCTAATTCTGATTGGATGTTTGCCAGACTGTAAAGTAAGCCCTGCACGGGGAATAATCCTCTGCACAAAAATTAGGTCTAGAAATCCGTCCGCGCATTTCTGAAAATAAGGGTCAATTTTCGTTTTCTTTTCGACTGGTCGTCTTCGTGAAATATAGATTACTCAGTGTATGAAATATATGTCTACTGTATATTAGGCCACAAAAAAAAAATTGTTTGTTTGTCCTCCTCCAACCCCCCCTAACTCACTGAAAAAAATAGAGGCGGAAAAACTAAAAATAATTTATCAAAAATAAGTAGGCCTATCTATCAGTTAATAAGTATCTAATCAAAATTGCTGATTTTCCCTGGCGTTTGTCCTCCCACCCTGTCCGGGACTGTTGTAGGGCCTGAGTAGAACCCCTGTAGAAAAACGTACAGTAC